CACATGTAGCAGTTCAGGGACTAGTGAAGCCCATCAAAGGGCTGCCAGGGTCTTTCCCCAGAAGGTCACGAGTTCAAATTTAACCTATGTTTGTGGTGAACAAGGACCATTCAAGGTCTTGTGTTAAGAGTACGTGTGCCCTCACCATAATGTTCCTAACAGGGGTGCTGACAGCTTGCATTTGTCATTCTTGCTGACTCTCTCGTGAGCACAGTGGATGGCCGAGCACACATGAAAACTAAACCATTTCCTCCCGTGTGAAGGTAATCCTTCCAAAATGTGAACTCTGAGGTACAGGGAGTATCTTGCTTTCATACTCCCTGCTCCTCCTTCAGGGCTGAGGGAAGAGAACAGCTGGCCCTTTAGTGGTCTAACACCCTGATGAGCCCACGACAGACTTTAAAATTTAAAGACATACAAACATGCCCACAAGAATGGCAGTTTCCAAACAACAACACAACTCTCTCACTTTCAACAAAGCATTCACTTGTGGTGATAAAATGCCAGGTCACAAGTCAAATTTTGACTCCATTACTGAGCATTATCCTTGAGCTCTAAATGGAAAGTCAGTCCGATTCACCAGCTGTCAGGCTCCTGCCTTCCCCCACTCTGAACAACAACGGAATAACAGGCTACACAGTTATAGCTGCTGGAATCACTGCTTGATTAGATTCTTAATGATTGCCTCTGTCCACAGGTCGCTTCAGCCAGTCACTCAACAAATAGACTTCAAACTATTCGAATCCTAGGTTTCTGCTAGGAGTTTGACAAAATGCAGTGAAGAAATCCACCACCAATCATAAGACATTTGGGATGACTTAGAGACCCTTAAGGTAATTAGATTGCTCCTCTTTATGAAAAAAAAAAATGGTGTGGCTCAGTTGAGCTATGAGATGTCCATGGATTACCTTTCATTGGTTGTAAACGGTTCCCACCTTTAGATCTGATGTTGATTACGAAGGGGTAGATTAAGTAGGAGAATACCCTGCAAAGGCACCCCAGGATGTGTCGAATTGTGTCTGTGAGGGATGCTAACACCTTGGCTATCCCAAGGACACAAAGCACCTGTCCCCAGGGGAGGGTGGCCAGCACCCATGTGAAATGCTGTTGCCTGAAAGTGCTCCAGGACCCCAGCTCCCCAGTTTTCCTGTCGCCTGAAAGAGGAGCTCAAAGCAGTGAGAAGCGCTGCCTAGATTGTTTAATTACCAGCTATCATTTGAACCTATGCTACCTGCAAGTGGTAACTCTGAAGTTATTTCTTGTCAAGTCACCGGGCCACTGGGGAAATAAGAGTCTGGGAGATGACAAGGAGGGCAAAATTTGCAGATACTTCCTTCTGCCAAGGGTGTGAGGTGATGGTTAAATCTAACAACCATGGACCCTAAAAGAAAATAAGCAACAGATGCTGAAGCCTCCCCACCGCCCTTTTAAATCCCCAGATGGAACTGTCCCGCAGTGGCAGTGCCCCGCGATAGGCTGAAGCCATCTTCTTCCACTGTATGCAGAGCGTGCCCGAGGCCTCAGGTTTAACGCCAGCGCTAATCCCGTATCTACCCACTTATAAATCATTCCTCCATCTAATAAAGGTCCATCGAACTTAACTTATAACCTATTCTATCTACCTCCTAGTAGAAATCGATCATTTCAGCTGCGGGCTCTATCCCAAATGGCCATTTCCCTGATAGGGAAATAGGAAATAATTTTTCTAACCTAAAGCAGTCTGGGGGATTTTCAATGACTGAACTAGCGCTCTGCAGGAAGCCTTTCTATGATTTGGCCTGACGTTTTTTCAAAAGGCACTTACTGCCTTCCCTCCTTCAGGGCTCTGTACCCACCAACCTGGGGCTGCCTTGCCGCCAGTTTTCCTTTCTCCTCGAGAGGCTCAAATTTCCGGAATCTGGCCATGTAATGCAAATACGGGGCCCAAAGGTCTGATGGCTGTGGGTTTCTGGGTTGGGACGCGAGAGGTGTGCGGAGGTCGGTACCAGAAGGATGCGGATGAGGGCTGGGGCAGAATTTGCTGGATCCCTGGAGAGATGTCTTAAAATGAACGCTGAAACGACCACGGAGAAGAGGGCTGGGAACCGAACCAAGTGCCTTCGCAGGGCTCCTGGGGCCGGAGAGAGTTGGCTCCATCAGGTGGAAGCCGGGCAGTTCTCCCTCAACCCAACTCACGAGAGATAAAAGATGTCTAAATAACCAAGACCGCCGCCGCCACAACCCTGCCCTGCCCTGGAGTGGGGGTGGGGGTGCGGGGGGAGCGCCTTTTCCGTTGAAACAGCGGCTGCGGCTTGTTTGTAGGTCCGCAATTCACCGTGATAAATGTAAAGACCAATTAAGGTTTGATCCGTGCACACGGGAAGCAGACGGCGGCTGATAGTGGAACCAATTAACGAGCATGTCCCCTAATTCCTGCAGCGGCCGCCGGGCGCACCGCAGATCCCCACGCGCCTGTGGCGGCTGTCCCCGAGGCCAGCGCTCCCCCTGCCCGGCCCTGGAGGGGGGGGCGTCCTCCTCCAGTGAGAAGGTGCGAGGAGCGGGTGCCCCCGGGAGGTTGGGGAGGGGGCGCGCCGGGCAGGGAGGCGCAAAGCCAGCCGCCTACAAAGCCCAACTGTTGGCAGCTGGGCCGGGCCGGGCGGGTGGGGCGCTCAGGACTGGTCGGCACCCGGCGGGGGCGGCGGGCGCTGGGATAGGCGGTGCCCCGAGGGCGGAGGAGAGGTGGCCGCACGGTCGCCACCAGGTAGCAAAGGCACGGGGGCTGCGCGGCGTGGTCTCAGGGGGCGCCAGCCCGGGGCCGACTCGCTGCTGCCCGCCGCTATAGCAGCCTAGCGTAGTGGGGGTCTGCGGCGGGGGGCCGCGCCGCAGCCTGTGGGCCCCCGCGCCCCTTTCCCTGCAGGCTCAGTCCGCTGCCCCAGACGTGACCCCCGCGCGCGGTGTGGGCGCTGCGCGCGCGCGTGATTAATGGCCTCGAGGTCGGGGGCGGCGCAGACACGAGCCCTTCCTCGGCTCTGCCAGGGCGTGTGGGTGTCCCCGAGGAGAGCCAGGTCCTGGCAGCCGGGGAACCCGGGGGCCGCGGCCGCGGACGAGGAAGAGAAGTGGGCGAGGAGGGCCGGGGGGCTCGTCCCTGCGGCCCCGGGGCGGCGCCGCGCCGACTGCCCAGCGCCAGCAAAGTTTCGAGCCGCGGGCGCCGCGCCGCGCTGCGCAGTGCGCGTGTCCCCCCCGCGCATCCCCTCGGCGGGGTCTGCGCTGCCGCGGCTGCCGGGGCAGGACAAAGGCTCGTTAGCACGTGATGGGCCCGCGCTTCATAAATGGAGCGAGAGGGAGCCGGGGGCTGAGCGCGAGCGGAGGCAGAGGCAGGGGCCGCGAGAGCGCGGCGCGGCGACGGGCGGCCCCACGGCGGGCCGGGCGCGGCGCGCGCGGGGACCCGGGGAAGAGCCCGCGGAAGGGGCGCGGCTCCCGGGCTGCGGGGCGGAGGGGCGCCGGAGGCAGCGCGGTCCGGCTGGTTCTCCGCCCGCCCGCCGGAGGCACACCGCACCCCACCCACCCCGCATCCCGGCGCCGGCGCTGCCTCCCTCCCGCTGCTCCCTCGGCCACCCCTTCCTTCTCCACTTCTTTTCCGCCCCCGCCTCCCCTTGGCTCCCGCGGCGCCAGCCCTCCCCCTGGCCGGGCGAGGTGCCTGGGCTCCTGCAGGGCTGTGTGGAGTCGGGGGCACGTTTCCCTCTGGCGGAGAAGCGGCCCCTGCGCTGGGCGAGAGGTGTCGAGGGAGCTTCTCCCCGAGGACCGGGGCATGCGAAGGGTAAGACCTGGCAGAGTTCCGTTTGAAAATACTTTTTCCGCCTCCCGCCCCCTCTGGTACTGACCCGTGTGGTCCCCAAATATCCTTCGTGGAGTTCTTAATCCGTGTGAGCGAATCGTGCGTCGATGTTTACTTAGCTGTATAGCCCCAGCTTTTGAACTGTGGTCTGTGCTACTTCTGGAGGTTTCCACCATTTACTAGTTACTGAATGTGTGTGCACCTGGCTCCCTGTTTCCACTGATGAGTGTTTGTAGAAAATGTGTAATTGTGCATGTTTGTTGAACAGGCGCTTGAGTTGGTGCTTAATGTCTAGAAACCATATTAACAGTTAAGTCTTCCCAGAGAAATACATTGATCTCAGCAGCAAACCGAGAAATTGTCTAATGTAAAATATTAAATGTCATATAAAGAAATGAATGCCAAATAAACTTTTGGTATAGAAAAATATAGCTACAGGAACCATTCTTTTTGGGGGAACAATGAATATGCATTTAAATACCTAAATTTGAGTGTTGAGGGAACCATTTAACTCAGAACAAGCCATTAGATGAAAAAGTTGATGTTGTGTTTTTAAAAGATATTCCTTCCTAAGGCTGGCAGTCATAAATGCATCCCCTCCGGAATGCAGATGTGCTGGCCGTCATAGACATGAGAAACTGTCACTTGGTCATTTGAAAGTTTAAAAGCCACATGCATGTTTCTAAGTTTAGTTTTAAATTGAACAGATGAGAAAAATATCAGTAACCTCTTAATCTTTATGTCTCCCATCTTTTTTATTTCCCTTCAAGTAAGTGCTATTCTTGACTTTGTTGTTGCGTTCTTGATACATTAAGCATCCCTACGCATTTAATCCAATAAGAGATTAGAACAGATTTACTGGTTTTAGAGGCGCTGAAAAGGTATCTCCGTGGGCCCCGTAACTTCTCCCATTTTTTATTACCAAGTTAATATCTTTTGAACAATGGGGGAAATGCAATTTCTTAGTGGAAACTCAGTGCATATTGAGTATCAGTGAGGTGACCACTGCCATAAATCTATTTTGCAGAATATGGAGACACTCAGAGCAACCAACCTTTAAGGTTCCCATAGGACTTTATCTGATTTGAAGTGTTGTTTTTCTAATCCCACCCTACTGACAGTTGGCAAGGGAAGATATCCTGATGGGTTTTTCTCTGTCCCATTTTTTCCTGAACCTCCTTCTGCCTCCCCTGCTCTCTAACTCGGTTAAGAACAATTTTATTAAATAATAGGCCATGTATAATTTCTTAAGTGGCACAAATTATTTTCAGATTGTATCCAAACATGAACAGAATCCATGCACCTCCAGAATTTTGAATGTTGCTTATCGCAGGCAGATTATCTGTAGGCACAATAGCAGTTGCCATAGTTGGTCAAGAGGCTTGAGAATGGACATGGTTTTTAAAAACTAATCCATTTTAAGTTATCTGAAGAACTTACTGTAAAAAGACTTTTTGTTCTAAAGATGTCTCCCACTCCAGAGAAGGAGCAGTCTTGGCTGAGGTATGTATCCAATATGTATCCAATGTCTGATGGGGAGAGGTCTCATTGTGTTCTTAAGTCCCCAGGGGGTAAAATGTTGCCACAGGAGGAAATGCTCAGTTCTGACCTTTCATAAATAAAATTACTATGCTTGCATACTCATGGTTAGAAGGCAAATTAGATATGTATGTTCCTCTATTTTAATAAACGGCATCAGTTTATGTGCATATAAAAAATATGCTTAGTCCTGTAAATAAACCATAGGGATGTTCTGTTTGGTGTGTAAAACTTTACATTCTGGTGAAAATCTGATCTCACGCTGGAGTAGTGCTTGGCATTGTTTGTTATCCACTGTTTCTGTCTTTTTCTGTTACCCTTTTCCCCGTGGACCGTGTGCCTCTCTGTCTCGCCTGTGAGATTGTTCTTCTCTAATAAGCCTAGCTGCAGGATCAGTATGTTCCTTTTGGCATTTCAAAATGTTAAAATAGTGAAATTGTTAAATGTTACCAAGATGCAACTGCTGGGAATGAAATTCTCCAGAAGAACCACTATGATTGTGGCATATTACAGTCTATTCCAAAACACAACTCTGTGAATCGCTTTACCTATTTTCTCAAGAAAGAAGCAGTCCCATTGATTGTGTTGATAAGTGTTTAGCATGCAGTGTCAGCTTATTAATTTCTAAAGCAAAGCCTGAAAAACTCTTCTGAAACAATTCTGTGACATTCTTTGCTTTGACTCAGAATTAATATTCACCACCAGGAAATTTAGGCAGGCTCCCTGGTTGTCTTGCATTTTAGTGTTTGGAATTAGAACTGGAATACTTGGCCGTGTAATAATAAACTATCATGAAATGTAACTTACAATAGCAGTTTATAGTTCACCGTGCTTACCAAATGTTTCTTCCCAGAAAACAGTTGGCTTAATAAGGAAAGGGGTTATTTCCCATAATCAGCTCTCCAGGAATGCTGCAAAAAAAGAAAAAGAGTAATAAATTGAATTTGGAAATACCTAACAACATATGATGAGTAAAACGAGATTTGGTTAGAGCATCTTGAATTTGGTTAGTAAGACGGAGCCTGTCCTTTAGGTTGCTGCCTGTTATTCTTGGGGTAATTACATTAGCTCAGTTGCCTGAAGAACACAGATGAGGGCTTTATTCCTGCAAAAACGGATGCCGTGTCTCCACCAGTGTAAGTCTGTCTCTTCTATTTTTGCATTCATCATTTTCTAATTGAACTGACAGATTAGTTAGAGTGAAACCAGCCTTTGGGTTTAAATTATTTATAATTCTGTTCTTGACTCTGAAACAACCTGGACCCAACATTGTTTGAAAAACTGTGCTAGGGCCAAGTTTCCATATTGCATATCTGTATTTTGAGGGACTGCAAGTTCTGCTGATTTCTCTTCCCTTTCCTTAAGACTTGTAGAGAAGTTAAATAATAAATCAAAACCAAATGAGGTACTTTGTATTGACATAATCTTAACTTCATATTTCCACCCCTAAAGCCCCCAAATCTCCAGTTTCTTCCTAATCCTGTTCTCAAAATAATGTTAACTTTACTTTTTAACTGCATGACTGCTGTTGTTGAGGGTTGGGAGACTGAACACTTTGCTACTGAACTGCTATTAAATATTTTTATAACCATTTAATTCATTGATCTGTGTATTCTTAGATTAGACTGGGTTAACTTTATAACCTACTATAGACCAACTGAGATTTCTCCCAAATATTTTCTGGACTAAAAGAAGTAATAAGTATCACCCATAATATATATGATATCAAATTATATATTGCATAATTTTAGATGACTGGAATGTATAAACTTTTTATACATATATATGAACAAACTTTTTCATAAATCTATGTTATGACTGACATATAAATTTAGACACATTGCCTTTATATTTTTGAATGCATAATTCAGATTTTACATAACTACTACAATTTTTGGGGAAATGTCCAAATTCAAGGCAGCTGCGCAGATGGACACAGAACACTCAAGGCAAAAGGAAGTATCCACCTTGAATCAAAATAAGGCTGTTCTTATTTTCCAGGAGAGTAGAAATCTGTCCCAGTCTCAGGTGTGTTCTAAGAATCTTGCAGATATGGCAGGGTGGGCACAATCACATTTGGTTATACTTTTCTCATAAACACTGATTGATGTGTTTAACACAGTTTTCACCAATCTTGGTAATTGTTTATTACTTCTTGAAAGAAAGTTGGGAGAAATACACAAGGTTATTACTATATCACAATGCATATTATACTTGTTATGTATAACACTTTATAATTCTATCACAAGTAACTTAAAACTATAGGTAATTTGTGGTGGATGTGGGGTAAAGGGAAGGTTGTTTTTAGTACCTCTATTGGTACTGTTCAAACAGTTTTTTGTTAGATGAACTTCTATCTAGAACAGTCCTGAATGAATAATAGGTATGTTTATGACATATCGGTAACAATAGGTCAAAACCATTACATAAAATAATCAGTGTGAGTACCTTTAGTTTTTAACAGAAAGTATTAGTAAAAGCTTTCCTGAGTGATATTTTCTCCACTGAACAGGGTCCTCATGGAAAATAAAGTACACTTCATTATAATAGTTTTGTAGGACGCTTGCAATTACATATGTATCCTTGATCTAGTTTTCATTGCTATTTTCCAACTATTTGTAGTTTCCATACAGATTATTAATGAATAACTTTGGGATGCCCTCTAATTTAAAGGTTTCATTTGAATATGTTAATTTAATAATTTAGTGAGCATGGAATTCTAGGTTCCTTGTTGTGGCTGTATAGGTTTTTGAGGGAAGATCTGTTTACTCAGCAAACCTGAGCGAATGGGCCTGGCAGAGTCATAGCAGTTGTTCGGGAATACTATGAATTCTCTTTTAGCCCCAGCTGGAGAAATGTTCACACCTGTACTTCAGGAAGGCTTTCAAAGTTTTGCTAGTTGTTTGTTTTGGGTTTTTTTTTTGTGTTTGAGTATGTGAGTTGAGACTGGTCAGGTGAGAATCAATAATCTTTAGCCAAGTCTTTGTTTAACCTATTGTGCTATGGCACTGTATTCTGTATTTTTGAATAAACTTCTGAAAAGTAGATTTTGCATTTTTTGAATGCAAGAAGTAGATTTTGCATTTTTTGAATGCAACAATTAAGTTCCCTTTTCTCCTAACACAGATGGGAAACCATTTTTCCCTAAGAATACAATATTTTATTATCTGATGTCTTATTTTTCCACTCTAATTTGTATTCTTAATTGTTTAGAGTTTGGATTCGTTGAATAGAAATTTGATATCTTTGGCTTGAGTCCTTGCCATCGTTATCAACTATAAATACCATTTAAAAATTTTTTTAACTTAGATAAAATGCAGTATAGTTTCCTAAATTTGACAATGTAATATCTATTTTTTTTATTCCTACCAGTCAATTCCATGCTACTGCTTTTTAAAGTAAAGCAAAGGCATTTTTCAAAGATGTGCCAGGCAATCTGTTGTGGTAGTTGAATATACAAGCAAATGCTTTCACAAACTGTGTATGAGAGTAATATGTATTTTAATATAATTAAAGTAAAAGATAATTAGGAAATAATGTTTCTCAAAGTTTATGTCTATATGAGAGGGTTCCTCTCTTTATCATTTCTTCATACATCCTTTTCCATCTAGTATTTAGAGAAGAAAATTAGAATCAGTATGAGTTCTGTAAATTGAGCTAAGCTATTAGGAGTTTTTTATTTCAATTGGTGATCAATTCCAGTATGCTTTTTAAAGAACAAATTTCTACTTTCACATATGAACATTGTACTCGGAAACACTGTAACATTAATTTTCTGATGGTTAAGAGGCTAAAAAAGATGTTTTTAATACAGCTAGTGAACCAATTCCTAATATGTAGTATGCTTTAGTCACTCTGCTTGTAACTCAGCTATGTTTAAAAATTAATCAACGTGACTTATTCTTCATGAGAGAAGCTTAATTGAATGCCACTCTGACCAGTGTATTTTGGTTTATTCCAGTGTGGCTTGTTAAATGGACCAGATTTGCAACTCATTTCAGTGCATTGCTACCAGAACTTGTAAATGTTTTCTTTAGCTTTTGTGTGAGTTGTGGTGAGCAAGCAATATGCATGTGGAGGAAAAGGACAGCTAAGCAATTTAACATATAAGTAAAGTAAGCAAAAGATTGTCCAGAGAATTCTGTATCTTTGCATATGTGGGAATTTGACTTTGGAAGATATACAGTTACTTATGGAAATTGTAGCTAACTTCTTACAGACAAACAAAAACATTGGAAAACCTTGGAATGATTTTAGTCCTCAGCTAAGAAAACTTACTATGAGTAATCTATTACCCATTTTTATTGCTGAAATAATTTGAGAAGGACCATTCTGCCCAGAATCATATATTTAAATGTTTTGGGATACATTTCCCTATGCTTATAACTTTAGGTATTTTTGATAGATATTTGTCAGCTATAAGCAGTGTAAATTAAATAATTACCAAGATAATTATATCCATGAATTTGCAGTGGGTCTGCATTACCTTAGCCTGCTGAAAAATGTCCATTTTAGTTTGTCTTTTTCTGGGTTCATCCACTTGATACACTATTTTATGGTTTTGGGAAAAGAAGAACAGAAACAGAAACATTTCCAGCTTAAAAATAAGTAAGCTGAAGTGTTAACTACTTTTTCCTTTTTTCCTATTTTATGCTCAGTAATTGTGGGTTTCTTCACAATGGTATTGAAAGAAATGGCAAGCAGTCCTGTAAAATTTTGCATAGACTTTGTGAATGGTATTAGCAGAAAATGGCATGGAGCTCTTATGTCTGCATTTTGGGTAAGTATGTATAGTACTTTGAAACTTCCTTTCTTTTCTGGACAAAATGCATAACAATACGTTTCCTGAAAAAGTGCACAGAAGCCCTGACTTGTAGACTTGAAAGACCTCATGAGGGTCCCCACTTCTTGTGCTTATTTTCAGGTTAGACCGTGTTATTCTATTCCAGTCGCACAGAAATACC